AAATGAAATGAACGTGAATAAAAGAAATATTATTTAGTTTAGATTGTTAGACTATTTAGTAATAAATTTTTTCGTAATGTTTGTTTTATTGTTTTCGTTCAATTTAATTGTTAGGGTAAATGGGGTATAACAGATGAAGAATCAGCTGCCGATAAAAGACGGGTCGCTGAATTTACAAAAACATTTATCCCTAATACCAGAGCACAAATACGAGTTTTGCATCAGTCTTATCAAGTGAAAATTTTATTTATTATTCGAGTATAACGCTAACTGTTTTCCATTTACAAAACGTTTAACTTTTAGTTTAACTTTTAACAATTTTTTTTTTTTCTAGGACATGCTCCAAGACTTTCTAATCATGTTGAATAGTCATTCTGATGTCAGTCTGCGTTTTCTTTGTTTTCGCCTCGATTTTAATGAACATTACAAAAAGTTGGAACCGAAATTACGTTCTCCGACAAAATATGGAACAAATAAAGGAAAAGGTTTATACACGGAAACAACTAAGCTATAAGAATTTGCTTTAAATTTTAGTTATGTAAAAATGGGTAAAAATGAAAAATCAATAAATATTGTTCTTTTGTTTTATAGTAAACTTAAAACTTAAAAACAAGTAAAATTTAATTCATATGCTTTGACAGACTGTACTGAGGTTACGGATGCATTACATTATAAACATATACTATAAGTTGTTTAAATACGAACATTCGAAAACCAGGAAATAAATGTTTTGCTGCCGCCAGAAGTTGTAAAAATTGCGTTGGCAAAATTAAGCCAAACGTTACAGTGACAAATTTATATCTGTACCCCAGTGGTCAACTATCGTAACTGCAAAATTGCTGATTTTCAGATTTTTATCTTAACTGTCGTCTTGTTTTAGTGGTAAAATATCGTAAGCGTGGGCATTACAGAAAGTAACTTCAAATATCAATTTTAAAAATAAAAAAAGCTGTTTCTTAACAGAAAAAGAAGTGTAGTAACTTCATTTGGCTCTCATTTAAAATTTGTCAAATGTGAGTTACCTCTGAGGTTTTTTTTAAATAATACAACGGTTGCATTCTTTCAAAGCATAAATTTTTTAGTTGTTGCATAATTTCACTCGTGCAAAGTTTGCTTACAGTGTCGTAGTATTAGTAGAGAGTAAAAGAAAATACAAAAGTTTTTATTTCATTTGAGTATTTAAATCAGACCAGCGCGTCTAATATAAATAAATGACTTCCACAAATAGATTTTATTTTGAGGTTTTCCAGACCTTTTCAATTTTTTTAATTTCAAATTTATAACTTCTTAAAATCGTGGAACTGAATAGCAAACTCTTCTAGTGGAATAAAATTTAAAAAAAATAAATTGATGCAACAAACTTTAAAAATAAAAATGCTAAAAATACTTCAGAAAAAATAAAAATTTATCACTAGATTTTAAACTCTACTATCGATATTATTATATAATAGATTTGAAATATATAGATAAATATATAGAAATATATAAAAAATATAAATAAATATATAGGTGTGTTTTAGAAGATCTTTTAGCTGTATTTGTACTGAATAGCCATCTATTTAAATTTTTTTTGGATAGCATTTTGTTTTAGAAGATCTTATAGCTTAATATAAAGAATATATGTGAAAGCCGTTTATTTATGCACAATTTTTTAGAAACTGGTATGTTGATTTTGATATATCACCATTAATAATTAACGCTAAAGCTTCATCAGGTGAATATATCTAAGCAGATTTAATTGGATTTTTATTTCCAGTTTTTGAAACTTTTGTGCCAGTTTTGTACTTAAACATACTTTTTAGTTTCAATTTTGCTGCATGAAGTAATTTATGGCTAAATGATAATTAATAACATTGTTAAGCTTATTCTTTTTGTTCTGTTAAAAGCTTTCTCAAAAGAGCAACATGGTTTCCCAACTTTATTAATTGATAATGTAGCATTTAATGTACCGTAGCTGTATTGAAAATCTTGAGCTATCCAATCTTCATTACATCTTTCAAAATGAGTATTACCATTGTTTGCTTTCAACTTTTTACATTATAATTTCATAACGTTTTTCACTCAGAATCCTCTAGTTTAATATCTGCAGAAACTAGAACAGTTAAGTTCAATGAAAAGATGGTATATCATTAAGTAGTAGCGTAGGAAGGTGTTTAAATGTTTCAAATAACCAACATATAAACAACAAGAATATTCCAGTTTTTTTTACGTTCATATGTATGACGAAAAGATTCTTTAAAAAAGAAATTACTGATAGGAGTAATTTTTTATCAGCCCCCCTGCCCCAAACGTGAGAGTACAAGTTGATGAAATATTTTTTGTAATATTTTTAACTAGACTTTTAACTTCCTCAATTTGAGGGGGTTGAAAACTTTATGTGGTCATAATTTTTGAACTCTTAAATATTTTACTTAAAATTTCTCGATGAATATAAGTTGAATATAGTTCAAAAAATATTTCATCAACTTGTTGCTCTCACGTTTGGGGCAGGGGGGCTAAGATTTTAAATTTTATTGTTCCCATTCTCCTATCACGGTAATTTATTTAAAGAATCTTTTCGTCATACATATGAACGTAAAAAAATTTTGAATAATCTTGTTGTTTATAAGTTGGTTTTTTCAAATATTTAAAAACCTTCCTACTAGTTCATTTTTTCGTATAAGTCCATAAGTGTCATGGTAAATGTCACCAATTTTTATATTATTACTTAACAAAAAAACAAAAAGATTGTTAGGTAAACAGTGCAATTTGTATTGAATTGAAAAACAAACAAAACAACATGGATTTTTGTTTACGAGAAATAAAAGTTGATTTCAAGCAAATAACATAAGCTACAAGTCATAATTTTAAAATATTAAAGAAACCGAAAAAGAAAAGTTAGAGGCAATGTATTTACTTCAAAGAGGTTCTATACATAATACATTTACTAGTTTGAGTATTTAATAGAGGTTCTTGTTGGTTCTATAAATTATGTGACACTCTTTGTACAAAATAAAAGTACTAAATGTTAAAAATTTTCATCGTTATTTTAAAGTCAGATTATAAGTGTATTATAAAAGCTGATCTTTACTTTATATTTTTTCATTAATGTTAAATAGTTTAAATAAATAAACTAATCTCGTAAACTCATGACATTTTAAAAGTTACTGTTTACGATAGCTATGCATAAAAAACAAATATTTTACGCTTTTTTTTTTTTTTTTAAAAAAAAGTTTTTATTATGCATGAAACCGCAACTGATTTTTGTGGTTTTAAAAGATACTATTATTCTCAAAACAGTTCTTCAAAATTTTAAATGAAACATATTTTATTATATGGTTTAGAATGTAATATACAGGGCTGTGGAGTCGGAGTTGCGGAGTTGCGACATTTTCAGCGGAGTCGGAGTCGGAGTCGCTAAACAAAATCGCGACTCCGACTCCAATAGTGGTATTGTACCTGCGTGTACAAAACATTCAATTAACCTTATGTTCATAATAAACCTCAAAGAATGTTTCATAAATTTTTCAAAAAAGAAATTTTTAACTTATCGCGTAATATTTTCTAAAGAATTCAAAGAATTTTTCAAAAATTTTGCTTTGGAGTTGGAGTCGGAGTCGGAGTTGGAATCGGAGTCGGAGTTGTGCTCAAAAAATTTCAACAACTGTAGTCGGAGTCGGATTCGTTACTTTTTGTTTACGACTCCACAACCCTGGTAATAAATATTTGTTTTTTTAATTTAAAATTATTATTTTTTCCACCACATGTCCCACTGTGCAGCGTTTTGAAACACATGTCAAATTCACGTGTAAATAACCGCATAAAATAACGCTTCAATTAACATTTAATTTTTTTTCAACTAGATATTTTCTCTAATGAACATGTTGTCATCATTATGACAAATTTTTAGGATGAAATTCCCTTAACAATTTTTTGGTATTTTGGCACACTCTGTCCCACTGTGCGGTGCTGTGTGATAAGATGTGTGAGGACCTCTAGAAGCATCATAATAACTACAAAATAAAAAAGTGTTACATGAAAAACATGTATGAATGCCTAAACTTATTAACACATTGATATTTATATTTAACACATTGATATTGATATTTAATTTAACTCTGTAGTTAATGTATAATACACCATGTATATAATATACAAAGTACCTATATACAATATGTATTCTTTAAACTTGCATCGCCTATGATTATTTATACCGAGTCTGTAAACTACTAATTTTTACACCTGCTTACATGTAGGTCTGGAAAACCTAAAATAAAAACTATTTGCGGAAGTCATGTCAACCACTTTTAAGTATTTGTATCAGATGCGCGCCAAAGTAAAAGCATTTTCAGCCCCAACTGGGCAAATGACCACCCACACAGTGTCAGTGCCTCACAAAACATTTCATGGCTTACATATCGCAAACAAGTCACTATTTGCTCAGTGTTGGGCTGATCGGTGGTTTAAACAACCATAATAATAAACCATTTTTCAAAAATGTTAGGTGTAATGCTTCTGAGTAAAATGAGACCGATTATTTACAGAATTTTATTTTCGATTGTTTTACTTGTAAACTTATCTTGCAACTTTATAATCGTTAAAACGGGATTATATTTACTTCTGAGATTAAGTAACTAAAAAAAATTCAAAATTAAATTTTTTATAATTTTAATCTGAATTGTAATTATCTTGTCTGGCAAGAATTTGATTATTGATAACTATTATAAACAACATTGTTCTGTTTTCTTTTTTTTCCTTTGCATGTGTTTTGCTAAGAAGTTCACCAATATCTTTGGTTGTAGAAGGAATAGTTATTACATTCTCATTAGCTTCTTGATGAGAATGAGCATTTTGGTGTTTCTAGAATTTTTTAAAATCCTTTTTCAAACTAGAAAAACCAGTTTTTTTAAATACATCCTTGTTGCATTTTGAAGCTTGTACAATTGCTCACAAATGATCGTTTCTGACTACTACATGGACGTTTTGGAAAAACTAACACAGTTTGATGCGGACCATTACTTGGGTACTCTTTTTTGTTAGACTGTAATATTGAGGCAGTGTTGACATTGTTGACAGAGTTAGTTAGCAAAAAAGTAATATTACAGACAAAGCTAGTAGATGATGCCGAAGTAACAGTAGATGCAGAACCAACAGAAAAAAATTAGTAGCAGTAATGAGAGGATCAGCAAAAGATTAAATAATAAAAGTACTATCAAAATCGATAGAAGTATTATCTAATAAAAATGCAATAGTAGCGATAGTTAAAAGGCTAGCAAAAAAAAGTTGCAGGGCAAAAGATGTAGTCTTAACAGTAGAGGCAGTGCTAAAGAAAGTTGGTAAGAAAACAGTTCTTGCATAAAAAGAAGTAATAGTGAATTTTGTATCTCCTTGTTCCAATCTTTCCTTGAGTCGTTAAAGACGCTTCCTTTCTGTAGCAAAGAATTTCCGTTTTAAAAACATATAATTAAAGTAAATCATGAAAGACATTTTTTTTTTGTAGTTATTTTTTAGTTATTTTTTTTCCTTCAGTTTACATTGTTAGTAAAATATACAATAAAATAAACTATTAAAAGTACTTTACAAGTATATAT